AATGATGATGATACGCTAGACGAGTAACATTTGCAAGATGGTTTGTGCAAAAGTGTGAGATAGTACCTAATTTTCAAAAAAGTAGTTTGGATTGATAAAACATACTTATCTAACTTTGGTATTTTTAACAAACACAATTATCACCAATGGAGTATTGAAAATTCACGACTAGTTCGTCTGAGGCGGTTTCAAACAAGATGTGGGTTTATTGTTTGGTGTGAGGTGTTAGGTAAGTTATTACTAGTTTATAGAGAGTTATTGCAAGTTCACTTAATGTCAGTCACTATTAGTGCCGCTCTTATTTTGACATCTGAGCATACGCAGATCACTTACATTCTAGAACGGACTTTAATAAAGATTGTGCCTGTCCTTTGTTGTGGACAGCAGATACTGGCGACTTTATAGTTTTCGAGTGCTCTCGCCAACATTCGTATCAGTTCGAAGTTTTTTAACATTTAATATTTAATATCATCGTCACCTACTTCTAAAATGGTAATTTCTAATGTCTCTTCCGTATTATGTACTATTATAAACAACAAAAAAGATGAACTGTAATTTAAAATTTCTAAAATAAAGTTAGACAACGACTCTAATGTCCAAATTTCAGGTTTGCAATAAGTCTTATTTTAGCATGGAAATTATTTGCCTCTAATAAGGTTGTCACTATTAGTCTTTCTAATATCAAAATACGTAGTCACCGAGGTGCAGCAGTTATCATTTTAGACTTTAACTTCGGAGTTAGATACGACTTAGAATACCGGTCAGTACTTTGCAAACAGACGGACGGACAGCCGAAATTTAGTAATAAGGTCCCGTTGGTTACCATTCGGGTACGGAACCTTATGGTTGATTCAATTTAGTTCCTTAAGAAAGCTATTTAATTCTGGGTAAGTTTCTAACGTGTAAAATAAATAATATAAATAAGTTCAGATGAAGAATCTCTGCAATGGTAATATGTTTAAATAGATTTTAACGTGCCATTATAATTAATCATGGTATTCCGCTACTGTACTTTCCCTTGTTTCCTTGGTCTCCTTCTTTCTCCTGTGTGCAGTGATCTTGTCAGCGCTACTCTTTTTTGTCTGTCTCTTTTTTCATGCATATTACTTGTACAAAATACTCCTCTCTTATTATCTCATTGTTTGTTCTGTCCCTTCGTTCAACTCCTTTAACTGCTTTTAAGTAGCTCATCTCCACCGTTTGTATTATACTTCTCGCTTGTTTATTTAAGATCTCACTGTCACATCCGTATGTTAAAATGTATGTAAATAATTTATAAAATACTGTTATTTTGGTTCTCTTTCTCTTATAAAAGCTTTGCTTAGCCCATAACTAAATCTCGCGTTTGCAATAATTTATAACTGTTTCTTCTTTTCCGTCTTTGTGTATGTTTATTCCCAAATAAGTATTTGAATTGTTCTACTTGTTGTAACATGTTAGCAAAGTTGTCATTTTTTTTAAGTTTTTAATTTTGAAAAGTAATAAATAGAGCAGTATGATCCCCTCTCCCGTCTTCTCGAGAAGCTGTTGATTTTTTTAAATGTTCAAGTGACCATAAAAATGAGTGTTTAAATTTAGTTCCTTAAGAGCTGGTTGTAAAAATAATGCCGTAAACTCAGTTTAGCTAACAGACGTTTAATTTTTAACTGGTTATATTCAACATACAAATGTCATTTTTAAAACTATATTTAACAATAACCGATGATTATAAAACGAGGGTCTCAGTTTAAACTAAGATTACATTTTAACTGCCTAAGAAAACTGTTTAACCATGGGTAAGTTTCTAACGTTTCAACTATAACATAAATAATTTCAGATGGAGTCTCTGCAATGTTAATATGTTTAAATAGATTCATTATATACAATCATGGCTGCAATTATATTGTGTTAATTTTATAAAATATGCGTAAGCAATGCATTATTTTTAACACGTTAACTGCCGTCATTTTTTTCGGAGAGTCAGTGTGATGAAAATTTTTGAAGTCGATGACTTTTATGTATTTTCTGTTTATTGTTTACTGCCGTAACTGTTGACTTATCTTTGATATTTTTTTATGTCGTAACTATTGATGCACTATTTTTATGTTCTCTGGTCAAAAGCGAGACTTTTTTTACTGGAAATTCCTATTTTTTCTAAATGTACTATACTTGTTCTATGTCTTGTCCATCTAATTTAATTGTTATTTGTTATTCGTTTTCTCCATTATCACATTAGTTTTATCGACGTTAATTTTCCATTTTTTACAGCTATTTCGCAAATATTCAATTTTTTTGTAGATCTTTTTCATATTGCTTGTTTATATCACCAAGTTGTTGGCAAAGGAATTTTCTGCTATTTCCACTACCTGCATGTTTTTGTAGCCTAATTAATTTTTGTTTGTTTTTCTCTTGATTTCTTTTAAAACATCGTCAAGTACTATATTAATTAGTGTACACCTACTTGTCGCAATCCTTCCTTGGTCAAACATTTTTCTAATTCCATATTATTTGTTTCTACGTAGTTTTTGAGGTTATTCTTTATATCTTGTTTATAGCTTGTTTATATCTTGTTTATATCTTGTTTATATCTTGTTTATATCTTGTTTATATCTTGTTTATATCTTGTTTATATCTTGTTTATATCTTGTTTATATCTTGTTTATATCTTGTTTATATCTTGTTTATATCTTGTTTATATCTTGTTTATATCTTGTTTATATCTTGTTTATATCTTGTTTATATCTTGTTTATATCTTGTTTATATCTTGTTTATATCTTGTTTATATCTTGTTTATATCTTGTTTATATCTTGTTTATATCTTGTTTATATCTTGTTTATATCTTGTTTATATCTTGTTTATATCTTGTTTATATCTTGTTTATATCTTGTTTATATCTTGTTTATATCTTGTTTATATCTTGTTTATATCTTGTTTATATCTTTTTTATATCTTGTTTATATCTTGTTTATATCTTGTTTATATCTTCTTTATATCTTCTTTATATCTTCTTTATATCTTCTTTATATCTCCTTTATATCTTCGTTATATCTTTTTATCTTCTTTATATCTTCTTTATATCTTCTTTATATCTTCTTTATATCTTCTTTATATCTTCTTTATATCTCCTTTATATCTTCGTTATATCTTCTTTATCTTCTTTATATCTTCTTTATATCTTCTTTATATCTTTTTTATATCTTTATATCTTCTTCATATCTTTATATCTTCTTCATATCTTCTTTATATCTTCTTTATATCTTTTTTATATCTTTTTTATATCTTCTTCATATCTTCTTCATATCTTCTTTACATCTTCTTTATATCTCGTTTATATTGTCTTTATATCTTTTTTATATCTTCTTCATATCTTCTTTATATCTTCTTTACATCTTCTTTATATCTCGTTTATATTTTCTTTATATCTTCTTTATATCATCTTTATATTTTCTTTATACCGTCTTTGTATCTTCTTTATATCTCCTTTATATTTTCTTTATATCTTCTTTATATCTTCTTTACATCTTCTTTATATTTTCTTTATACCGTCTTTGTATCTTTTTTATACCTTGTTTTCTTTATATTTTTTATATTTTTTTTTATATCTTGATTATATCTTATCTTCTTTACATCTTCTTTATATATTTTTTATAACTTCTTTTTATCTTCTTTATATCTTATTTATATTTTCTTTATATCTTCTGTATATCTTCTTTATATCATTTTTGTTTCTTCAATTTTATTTCTTGTCTTATTTCTTCATTCCACCACTTGGTTTTTTTATGATTTGTTTATTTTACTAAATTCTCTTTAATTTTTTTTTTTTCATTTTTAAACAATAATATTTTACAAACATATTTCCTATAACAAATCCAAAACTATTTGATGAAATTTGACCTTATTTAAAACATATTATTATTAATTATATATTAATGTATTCATCTAAAATAAAACGGATAATGTTTATTATTAACCTGTAATTATATAACCATATTATTATATAACCGAATATTATCATAATATTTGTTTAAATCCACAGTTAAAACCCACAATGTTAAAACTTCCTCTAGCACATATAATATACCAGGGCTGTATGTATATTAAACAATCCGTGAACAAGAAATGTATTTAGAAAACTGTTAAAAAAAAACATTGTTCTTTATTTTTTTTAAAGATAATTGTATTTTTAGAAAATGGTAGAACATTTTTTTTATTTTTAAATAAATATACTAAAAAATATTCAAATTTAATTCATTTTGATGACATTGGGTTTCAACAAGATGATTGTTTATCTCATAATGTACAGAGTGATAAAAAACAAATTGCTTCTATAATAAGCTTTTAAGTGTCAGTCAGGATGTAATTCAGAGCCGTGTTTAGTTATCAGCGACATGACCAGTATCTTTGTCTTTGTCGGTCATAGCCTACTTTGAAAACATTTTTTGTGGATCATTTATTAGATTATCAAAGAAAGTTTTTCCCAGGATCGGATGCTCAAGTGTTCAGTTTTTCTGTCACGCTCATGACGTCACTCACAGAGTGATAGAATTATTTTCATTTGCACATCAAAATAAGGACCACCCACGATGCGCTGGGTTTGTGCCCGTATTTGTAGGCTGGATCCTATGACGTCACTCACAGAGTGCTTTTCATTAGCACGTCAAAGTGAAGACCGCCTATGATGCGCAAACATTCTATCTTTAGGTTGGGTATATAGTGGGTTTTTCCCTATCATTAAATTGTAATCTCGAACATAAGAGAGCACTTCGTAATTTTTATTTCTGGGGAATGCTCAAAATAAAGTAACTCCAGATCATTAATCTTATAGCTATGATTGATTTGGTTTTTGCTTGGCATATTCTGGAGGTATTTTTGAGTTTTATATTAAATAAATATTTTTCAGAATGCTTCATTGAAAATATAAGTAAAACTACTAAAATAATCTCATAATGCAATAAAAACACATGTTTGTAGCAATTTGTGAAGCTATTTAACTATTTTTTTTAAAGTAGTTTGTCTTACCTTTCCCACATGTTTTTTTCTTCATTTCGCATATATTTGGATAAATGATACCATCGCTACCGCATACTGGATCCCCGTAAGCATTTTCTTTGCATATCCTTGGACATGATGAATCCCTGTATGCTCCTATTTCTGAAATAAAAAAAGAAAATCATATTAATATTTAAAATTCATAAATAAATTACGCGACATTGTTTTAGATGGTTATGAAATATTTATTATGTATATATAAATTTGAATTATTTATAAGCATCTGACTTATACAGTATAAGATACATATCGTTTAAATCAAAATACTGCTTTTCTTTTTAATAAAAGAAAGTAACTTTTATACAACACATGTTTATAAAGAATTCAATTATTATCATGAATATGTTAGAGAAAATCAGTTGTGTTGGGTTATTTTATGATTAATAGTTTGTTAAAAAAAACTAATTAAAATAAATTTTAGAAACACGAAAAAGAAAGTCAAAAAATTAAAACGACAAAAGACCAATGACGATTATCTTCGAAAATCATGAAGAAGTTAATAAAATATATACAGTGCTAACGTAAAATGTTGCTCACAAATTTATATAGCCAGCAAACTACTTTCAAAGCATATAGTACGTTTATTTATTCTTAGAGTAAGAAATGATAAAATCTGTCGATACTTATTACATATCAATTTTTTTTTGCGATAAGTGACTAATTCCATATAATTTTTTCCATTTTTTTAAAAATAAGTGTACTCTGCCCAAATTTCTAATTTTTGACATCCGTATATGATAAAAATTTTAAATTTAATACTTTAAGTGGTAAGGATACCAGATTTAGGAATATAATGGAAGTGTAAACTGGATTTTTTTTTGTTGAGTTTCAGAAATATTAGTTTTATCTGATTTTAAAACAAGTACATGAAATGGCTAAAACGGACCTGCAATAATGGCACTTTTATGCGCAATCTTACCAGTACTCTTGTTCCAATTTAAATATTATTATTAAAAACAAACAATTTACGATAACTTGTAAACAATAGCAAATTAATATGGTTTGAAGATAATTAGTTGTTCATAAAAAAGTCTAATCTATTTTTGATGACCTCTTAGCCTGTTATCATGATTTAAAGAATATAAATGAAACAGGCCAGCAGAATTAAATTTTAATACGCGAAAACTTAAAATTAGATCACCTCGCATGCGGAGCTGTTGAAATTACTATAAATGCGCCATTGTTAACTGGTCGGCGTGGCATAATACAGCGATTTAGCCCAAAACTTATACGCATCGCACATCGTTGTACATTTTCAAGTAGATTTTGATCACGCACTAGAACTGGACACCACACTGGGCCACGATACTCCAATATGAACCGCATGTATGTTTTAAATAATTTCACTGACATCTGAAATTATATTTTCACGAAGGTCTTTCTAAGAAGATATATAAGTGAATCGGCACATGCTCAGACCAGGTTAAATAAGAAGTAATGGTTACACCCAAAACCAAATGAGACGTAACACTATTCAGTGCATAGTTGTTTAGTGTGTATTGTAGGCGAGGATTGTTTTTCCCATATATAAAACTACATATTTGCTAACATTTAACGGCAATAACCAGTCGTTGCACCATTTTCCAATAGAATTAACATCATTTTGTAGTAAGTTATGTTCCAGCAGTGGATTTGCATACATTTTGCTATCGTCCGCATAAAAAGACTTACAGGTGTCAATATGTAAGGCGAGATCACTGGTATATACTAAAAATAACAGAGGGCTTAGCACCGATTCCTGAGGTAATCCACTGGTGACCTGTCGATCGGAGGAATGTGACTGTCCAATTTTGACACTAAAATATCTATTGGCAAGATAATTTTCGATCCACTTGCTCAGATTGCCTCGGATACCAAAGTGATCTAGTTTAATAGTCTTTTATGAGGTGCCCTATTGAGAGCTTTCGCAAAATCCAGTTCGCTGGTTATTAATTATCAAAATAGAGGAGTTTATTATATTGGAACAAGTCGGTTCACAGGAAATGCTGATTCTCGTATATAAGAGTCTAGTTTAGTTTCATCCACCTTTTTGAATCTATTTTTAAACTGCAAAAAAGAGCAATCCGCTATGTATTTGGTTTAAGTAGTAGGACACATTGCGAAAATTACTTCAAAAATTTCAAAATTCTAACCCTTCCTGCTCTATTTATTTTCGAATCCGTCTGCTTAGTTCGCAAGCACATTCAAAATTTATCCGAAAGACCGACTCGTAGATATCCTACAAGAAATTTAGAGACTGATGTTTATTTAACAATGCCCACTTCTGACCTATTAAAACATTCCATTACCTACAATGCCAAAAAATTGTATAATAACCTTCCGATGCAATTAAAATCTATAAATACATACGATAAGTTCCGAAGACTGGCTAAAGCTTTTCTTCTAGAAAGACCATATTACACAGTAGCAGAATTTTATAACGTACCTTAGACATTTGAGTTCCACATACAATGGCATTAATTAAATAATTAAATATTAAAGTTTAAATTTAAATTTAAATTTAAATTTAAATTTAAATTTAAATTTAAATTTAAATTTAAATTTAAAAATTAAATTAGAATAATTATAATGACGGATATTGCATATCCATTACAATTGTTATTCCTATTTTGTCTGTTTGTTTCTGTTTGTTTTTTCTGCTGTTTAGTTATTTTTATAATATGTTTAGTATTTAAGTTACACGCTTTGTCTATAAAATTTTTGTAAATTTTTTTACGACAATAAAGCATATCTCTCTCAAACATTTAAAATAAAAATACTGATGATTCATAAAACTGGCAGAAAATGGCCTATGTAATTTAACAGAAACTCGGTTAGATATATTTATGTATTAATTTTTTTCCGATTTTTCTACACCTCTTATCTCAAAATATTCACGAAATTAATATTTTAATAAATAATATGGATGTCCATCTAAACATTTAGATTAATTTGGGATCTTTTATCATATCTGAAAAACCGGAAGTAAGCAATGACATTACAGAATACTTGAATCAATTATAAGAAAGTAGCTACTTGTTCTAAGTTATCTTATCTTAATTAATATTGTGCGGGTGGAATTTTTAAGCGGTTTATCAATAAAACTGCATAGACATGCCACTGGTGTAGGGTAGGTAGGTCTCAGTGAAAACTCTAATGCTTACAAAGGCTGATTAAAGGAAATACATTTCCATGTTTTCTACCTTAAACGAATTTATAGGAACATGTTTAAAAATAATATTATTCAATGTGGCATTCATTTTGAAAACTGATACAAATATTACCTAAAAATGTCTCAAAAATTCAAATTTTCAATAAAAAAAGGGTGATTTCCATTTAAAAATTAAAAAAAAAAAAAAATGCGATTTTTGCTGTTTTCTAATCTCAATAACTAAAGAATATAATGATAATTATTTTGACAGAATTGTCACTTACATAAAATTTTAAAAATAATTGTAGTCGGGTGACCAAAATATGAACTGTGATTGGCGGATTTCATTTTATTGTATCACATAATAAAATATCTTTTGGTCAATTTTATATATAAAAAAATCCTAAATTACTGATAGTCACCATTTTGATGAATAACCCTGTATGTATTGTAGCAATAAAGTCGAAAAAACAAGTGAAAATCGACAAATCGTATTAAGTATACCGTTCAAACTAGAAAATCGCAGATTATTGATTATTGTTTAGAGATATTTTTAAAATAATTCAAGTACAGTCAAAAAAACCTCTTTCCATTATATCTTCCTGATTTAAATCACAATTAACTCCGCTTCTTCGACCAGCTAGTTACTTATTGAATTTTTTTACACGAAAATCGTCTAATGAATAAATCGAAAATTCTAACCATGCAACGCCCATGGCTAATACGATTCCTTTTCCGCTTCACTTGATCTATTTCATTACTACATAATTATTATACTTTGATATACTCGTATATAGTTGAAGAATTTACAAAAAAAAAGCTTTATCGTCATCCAAAGCTGGGCGATGCTCGACAATTTGTGCGCATTGGGAGGGTCTCCAGCCTCCAATCTTCATTCCAAGATTGAGCATATTTAATAACTTTGTATTCGATGGTGAAATTCCATCAACAAAGTGAAATATTTAAGAGATGATTTTTTTTTTAAATAAATAATTTTTTATAAAACGATAAAAAAGTGAATCAACACAAACAGTTATGCGCCCTACACACACGCTACTATTTCAGCGTTTTGACAGCTGGAGTTGCTGCAAGCGTTTTCGATGCTTATGCAATTTTAACCACACACAAACCAGGTTTGCCAATCTGTGAGTAATTCCTCACATTTGTGAGTAATTTACTAGTCTGTGAGTAATTTTGTGAGTAAAGGGCAATTGTGAGTAATATGTGAGTAATCGGGAAGTCAGCGTGGGTATATTCATGGTAGTTAGGCAAAATCCTGATGGCATAATTTATTAAAACCGTGTTCTTTTAAAAAAATTTAACATAAGCCTAATTTTACCCCCTACCACTTTTAGCAGTCATAACAATTTTGTAGTTTTAAAATTGCAGCGTCCTCTATTGCTTGGTCAGTGTAATAGAGTAAAAGTGATTTTGATGTTTTACAACCCCTAGGTGTCTTGTCGATAGTGATAGTCCCATTGGGACTGTCCCAATCGTCGATTAATATCCTTTTTTGTTCATTTTTATTAGTAGATTTTTTTAAAGTATTAGAATTAATGATTTATTATGATTTCGCCCATTAATAAAGAATATACTCTAATTCTCCATCCTTTTTTGTTTAGCTGATTACAAAGATGTTTTATATACAGGGTGATTCATAACTATTGGGACATAGACTAAGGGCAGGTTATTTGTACCAAAATATGGCGATAGGGCCAAATATTCCTTATTAAGATTGTGACAGGCTCCTGGTTCACCTACAGTGAATCAGCGAGTCTGTGTGGCGCTATGAAGGTGATTCCCAAATAGGAGTTGCTCAGGCGCCAGTTTTGATATCGCAGTTTGCTCTGCGACCCTGTGGTACACCAGAGTGTACTCAAGGTGAACTCAGTGGAGGTAAAAATAATTCCAGGCGGTCACTGCTAGGTAATCACTATACTAGAATTAATCAAAAAAAATAAAACACTTATCT